TAGGGAGGCTTTCCTCTCCTCTGGTGATGTTACTTCCTACCAGAATGTAAATGACAACATGGTGAATGCTCTCCCTCCGATGATTGGCTGCATCCAGACTGACGTCTTCAGTCTCACGCTGCCCGTTCCTCAACCTTTGGAGAATCAAGGCTGTCAGGTGGTGACCTCATATAATCATTTTAGAAAACCATCGTAACAAATGTTTTCAAAAAACATGAAAACACTTGAGAGGATGAGAGGAAATGTGCTCTGTCACGTCATCTTTCTGTGGCTTTGTCTGCTGCAGGCGCAGAGGATGTATCCATGGAGGAGTTTCATAGCCTGTCATGGACTGCTCCCTCTTCATCTTTGGGATGTCCCACCTACTGAACACTGCATGCAGGTTCACCACCTCATATTTAATGGTGGTGATGGGACTTGGTAGATTTGGTCTTGCGTATGAATCATGTTTCCAACCAAAAATATATTTTGCCATCAATATGTCATAATTCTGGGTCAGAAAGTTTCTTCCTGTTAAAAGGAGTTTTTCCTTCCCACTTTCGCCAAGTGCTTGCTCATATGGGTTTTGTGATTGTTTGGATCTTCTCTGGATTGTTGTGGGGACTTTACATTAAAATATGAAGCACACTGAGGTGACTGGTGTTGTGGTGTGACACTAAACAGATGGGACCTCAGTATTGTTATCATTAAGAGAAAGATGCTCTCAAGTAAATTTATGATCATCTGCTAAAAAGAAAGTCGTTGTATTTCCTATCTTTATTTATACAAATATGGGTGCAGACTTCTTTCTTGTATTGTCCTTAATACCCATAATTCTGAAATAGGCTTAACAAGTCTAGATTCAAACAGCACAAACAACCTTAACCAACTACACAGCTTTGTTTGTTTTGTTTTTTTAATGCATCGTTAAACTCTCCCAGTGATTGTTAAAATGATTTCATGGTTATTTGCAGCTCTGTTTGAGCAGCCTGAGCAGTCGCAGCAGACTGCAGGCCAATGCTGCAATCCTCGGGGTGTCCCTGCTCATGGAGGACGTCCTGAACGGTGGAAGAGAGGCAGAGCCTGTTCGTCTCCATGGCAACAAAGATGACCTTCAGCATAGTGGCACACCTAATGAAGTAACGACAGTTTCTAACAAGGTCATACCAGTGACGCTTCCACGTTAGGGTTCACACATTAGTGAATAAAAATTGTAAGTAAATCACTAAGATTGCTGATTCGATTAATATTCCTTTTTTTTATTGCAGGGAAATAAAAGCTGCAGAGAAGATGATGAAGAGGAGGAGATAAAGATCGATTTCTCAAACCTTCAAGATCCAATCAGAGTCCAGTCTGTGCTGAAAGGTTTTCTCCTGCTGACAAAGCAGCTGGAGGTCTTCAAGGAGAGATGGGCTCTAAGACGTTTAGGCGCCGATGTCTTCAGTACACCTGCTTTGTATCAACAGTTTGTTAAACTTTACCGGTAATTAAAGAATATCAAAAATCAGACACTCAAATAATGCTATTTACTCATATCAGAAAATAATTGTTAGTTTTTGTGACAAAAATGTTAAAAGTTAATGTTGTTTTAGGATAAAGTAAGGTATGCTTAGGTCTTTCTAATTCAATCATTGTTTTACAGCAATTATTCACTTTGTTTTTAGAGATGAAATCTTTTACCCCAGTATGAGAGCTCTGGCTAAACAAATGGATAAAGAGCATCACTATGAGGTTTTAATCTCTGGCACGCAGTCTCTTCTGCCCCCTCCTGGAGCTTCAGAGGTTGATGTGAAAGCCTGGCAGGTACAAGCACAATGAAAACTGCACAATTAAATCATCATGTCATAATAACAAGAACTTCTAGTGCTGCAAAATCTACTTTTTCCAGCTCCACCTGCTGATGGAGAGCACAGAGTGCGACATGATTAGAGCAGTGCAGAGAAAGATGAGCAGAGAGCTCACACTAGTGCTTTCAGAGAAAACTCAACAAGATAATCGGCTCCCCACAGGTGCGCACAAACACCACTGGATCTACCTTTAAATACCCATTCGAAATATTTTTACTATTAACTATATGATTGCAGTTACATAATGTTTCCACATGTAAGCAGAGCTGTGGAAAAGAAGTCAAATGAAGTACAGTTTGTCCCGTGAGCAGCCACAGATGGTGGAAACATTCATCCAGCAGCTGATGCAGGGAGCTGAGCAGTCGGAGGGAGAGGTAGGGAAAATACCCACTGATGCTTTGTTCTCCCCTAAAATCTTTTAATAATGTGCTGCTACTGTTGACGGGCTTCTGATTACTGTGTGGAGAAAGGGAGTAGGATCTCTGCTGAAAAAGAAACTCAAACCTGTGTATTTTATCTACTTACATTCATTGTTATTTCAAATGTGGGCTTTATAATGCTCTTAAAACCCTGCTCTGCTAAGGCATGCCTTCAAAAACACACTAAATACCTTAAATGCTTGCTCTACAAAGGCTGCCATTTCTGCTGAGCTGATTATACAAGCTGGTTGCACTCCAGCGCTATCATTATCATTTCTAACAGCCCCAAGTACTCAAAGTATTTGGAAAAACATTCAAAATGTGCTGCTTATTCCTATCATTTCCAGTGCACAGGAAGAAAGTGAAGTTGTTTAGTTAACTGCTTTCCTGTCCATAAAAAGAGGAGAAAGGAGTGGGAACATGCTCGGTTAATTATGCAAACATGTGGGACAGGGAACATGAGGTGTTGCTTGGTATCAGCTTTAGGTAGACGTTTTATTTGACAGGTGTTTGAGAAATGATGTCTTATTTTAGAAAGAGAAGGTAATCAGTCCATTTCCACCAGGATTCTTCTTCATCGAGAGTCTGCAAAATAAAGGTGGCAATCACGTTTCCCACAGAGGGTATGTGGAGTAATGTACAAACTCTTTTTAAAAAGTTAAAGATTAAGGGGAAGTTTTCTCCAAAAGCAACATTTTTACATGCAACTAAATATTTACAAGCTGCTGTTGTGACCAGTAATGTCTTCACACTTGAGGTAATGAATGCTATGGTTATTCAGGCCTTTTATTGATTTCTTTGAACTGTTCCTATAGCAGTTATAAGTGGTGCCGAAGGTTCTTCAATAGCTTTTAACTTCACAACATGTAAACTTCTCATCAGTGATGACAGACGTGACAATGATTGAGCTATTTGTACGGTGGCCCTGAGAGGCCAAACAGACTGCAACTTAAGAAAACACCAGCAATAAGAAAAACGCTGCAAAAGCACACAAAACACAACGGAAATAGGGAAAAACGGAAATAGGAAAAAAGAAAACAGATTTCCAAAAGCACAAGAGAAGTGTTTCTGGGGAGACAATAACCCAACGAACCAGTTGCAGGAACCCAAAACATGCTAGGTGTGTTTTATCATGATTCATATAATACTGATGACGGATTTTTAAGCTAATAGTTAGGCTAACACACTTACCTCATCTTTTCTTTCCTCACAAAAGCGATAGATCCTCCACTTCTTTTAGGTGTCTCCCAGAGCAACACTTCCCTTGTGCTTTTGGAAATCAGTTTTTTCCTATTTCTGTTTTCGTTTTTCCTATTTCTGTTGTGTTTTGCGTGCTTTTGCAACTTTTTCTTATTGCTGGTGTTTTCTTAAGTTATAGTCCATTTGGCCTCTCAGGGCCACCATATATTTGGCCTAAATGACAAGAGATGTGTTTGTAGGAATGATTGTGATGCTTTCTAACCTAAGAACACAGTGCCAGCTGTCCAGCACGGTGGTGGTAGCATCATGGTCTTGGGGCTGTTTTGCTTCCAGTGGTACTGCTACATCACACAAAGTGGATGCAATAATGAAGGAAGAGGGCTAACTCCAAATTCTTCAACTATTGAAAACTAATGGTAAAATAGTAAATGGCCTGTATTTGTGTAGCGCTTTTACTCATGGGCTGCGCTTAAAAGCCAGGTCCATGCCAGGAAACCAACAAATTTAAATGAACTCTACCAAGAGAGGTGGTCAAATACACAAATACAACAATTACACCAGAAACTCATCGATGGCTTCTAAAAGTGTCTGGTTGAAGTGTAACTTTGCTAAATGACATTTATCCAAATATCAGTGGGGGTCTCTGTATATATTTGACTCTGTATGGATAAAGAAACCCCTTCTTGTTTTTATGCTCTACAATAATTCTACCCTGGAAAAAGAGCAGTTGAAAGACATCATTAAAAGCCTAAAATTACGATGACATTAATTTCCTTCTGACTACACTTGTAAGTATCTCTTTCACATGTATTGTGTGAAGAAATGCCAACACATAGAGAGAATATAACAGTGCAGCTTGTTGACTATTAAAACTTTATTCCCCCCATTCTTTGGAATATAAGTTTTAATGCAAGTTGCTAAACTTTAGATATTCATTAATAATATTCTTGGTTTTCTTTGTTAGCTGAAGGTCTCTCGGGATCATCTGCAGCAGTGTCTCACTCACCTCGGCTCCTCAGTGATGGAGCGAGAGCGCCAATGCTTTCTGCTTTACTCACAGTTTTATGAACAAATCCTGCAGCAGCACACTCGGCTTCTGTACCAGAGAGAACAGGTACATGTGTGGAATATCTTTTTATCTGAGTAAATATATTATTGTCAGTTTATATTTTTTTAAAAAGGAAATCTATTATCTTTCACCATTTTAACTGCAGGATTTGAAGAGTTTGAAGGACGCTCAGACAAGTAATTCTCACAAAGAGGTACACACAGTGATTCCCATCTGTAGCCTCTATGATTTTGTGAGTTAGTAGCAGAAAAGCAGATTTGAGCTGCTTTAGGAATGTAAGTCATGTTTGAGATTGAGAGCTTTCAAACAAGACTACTTTTGAGCTCTATTAATCCACAGGTGGCAGATTTATGCCGTGGGATGATGTTGGAGGTCTCAGCCCTGCGGGCCCAAGTTGCTCACCTGGAAGAAGAGAAAATTAATTTAGAGGAACAGCTCGGCCTCACATTCAAAGAACGCTACCACCCTCTGGTCCGACACCTTTTCTCTACCTGCATCCAGTTAAAGGTGAAAGAACAAGGCCCCCTGTTAAAGGGCTACAACAAAACTTTCACCCTCGACATCCAAATGTTGTAGTAGAAACTAAGACCCATCAGACGAGGAGTTTTTTTCACTCTTCTGTTTAATTTTGGTGAGACTATGCAAATTTTAGCCTCCGTTTTGAGTTCTTAGCTGGCAGAAGTGACACAGTGTGACTCTGTAGTTTTCACCAGTTTTGTGTTAGCAAGTAGCTGAAGTGGTGAAAACTACAAAGTGGCTGGTAAGTGTACTGTTTGTTTCTTTATAACTAGAATATATACTTGCCCTTTTCATATATCATATTTGAGCAGAAAGCGGTTCAATGACACTTTCTCAGAAGTTTCTCTGTACCATAATAATTTGCTAACATCTGATTGTTGGTGTTCTCTTTATAATATTGTAAGATCTTTACCATGCAATATAATGCACCTTGTTGTGACTGTTGTTGATGCTATAGAAATATAATTGATTGGACAATAACTTTAAATTATGTGGTAAAACGTTGCTTATTCTTTAGTTATTTTGTCATATCTCACATTTTGATTTATTAAAGACTTGTTTGGTAATTTTGTTTGGCTTTCAGGCCAGACTTGATGAATATCCCCGACAAATGAGGCGGGACATAAGTGTGATAGTGAACAGAGCACGGGGGGAAGGAGTGGACAAGATCATCAAGCTCAAGAAGAGGTACGGCTGCACCAAAGACAATGATGGACTCGCCCTCACACAGTTAAAGGTACAGAAAGTTTTTATGTGTAGGCAGTTAAAAAGAGCAGAAGTATTGAAGATGATCTGTGAATTGTACCACTTTCATACCTGTTATCTTAAGAAGGAAGAAGTCCACGAGTTAAAGCTGGAGAACAGCCGGCTGACTGCTCTGCTCTGTAAACTGAAGGCTCTGAGATGCTGGAGGAAGGTGGTCGACCAGGAGAAACTTCACAGGCAACTGCTCCAAACCAAGCAGGTTAGCAGCAGGATGAAGAAATATTCAGCAATCAGAAATTAGCTTTACCTCTTGCAGGGAGGGAACATGAGGCCATCAAGTACAAGGGAAAAGCATGAATATGCTTAGTTGTAGGATTTAAACAAATAATGTAACAATGTTACATGTACTCATGTACTGCAATTTAAAAGTTTAATGTTTTCTTTTGCTTGACCTGCTTAATCCTCACTAATTTTGTCAGCTTTGCATTATTTTTCTAAGCCCATATTTATACATTTATGAACTCAGCGCCACACTGGTCATTTTGCAGAGGGAGGTTACCACTCGCACCGAGGCTCTGAGAGTGAAAATGTTATCAGAGGAGAAGGTGGCTCTCCTGCAGGGGGAGCTGGACTTTGCACAGCAGGCGCTGATCTGCTCTCAGGCCGAGTGCAGCAGCATCAAGAAGCAGCTCAGCAGGAAGGTACATGCACTCCTATCCACACCTGCTAGCATCAGTTGAAACTGCAAATACTCTGAAATTCATTAAAACTATGAAATGTTTGGTGTGTATTTCTTAAGCTTGGTGAAGGTGCTATCAAATGCTTTCAGAAGCAGTGCAGGTTTATTTTAAAATGTCAGGATTTTAAAAGTTAACTACTTTTTTTTTGCCTCGTTTCTGATCCTACAGACACTTACATTATATTGCAGCTTCTCCAGCTTTCTCTTGTTGGCTTTTTTGGATCTCTAAGGACAGGAAGTGGGTTTTTGGAGGCTCACTGCACATGTTGAAGTGTTTAAATCACATTTCGCTCCCATAGACTTCCTAATTCATGTAAAGCTGTGCATTTTCAGTTTTGACAGTGGCAAGAGCTGTCAAGAGAAGAAGCCTGGATGTATTCACTGAATGTTTGCTGGTTCTCGCTCACAGACAGAGGAGCTCCAGGTGTTCAGGCATCGGTCTGCACGGGAAGCCCGCAGCAGACAGGAGCTGGACGCTCATCGAGTGCAAACCTTGGAACAAATGAGAGCCGACATGGAGGATAGAGACAGACAGCTCAGGGCCCTCGGTGAGCAGCTGGACAGAGGCAGCAGGATAAACAGGCTACAAAGAGAGCGCAGTGCCAAAGAGATCCGGCAGGTCTGTATGTTAATTAATGTGTTATGCACCACTGATTGCAGGCTGCATCCACTTTTCATGAGCTAAAAAAAACTGTGGTCAGTGGATTTTCAATAGATCATCCAAAGAAATACAATTTGAAAAAAGATCATGGTATTTTAAGTAAATCAACCTCTGAACATCTTAACTGAGAGTCAAATAAAACCAATTAACAGACTATATCTGTAGGTTCTCAGTTGTTCAGGTCATGGTAGTCTTAAGCACTTTAGTTGGACTTCTTTTCAATTCATGAAGACTTTTTGCTTCATCCAAGAAGCTTCTTCAGTCCCAGGTATTTACCCACCATGGAGGTTATGCAGAAAGTCACTGATCCACCTCGCAACCACTTGAGTTATTAATGGTCACATAATCCAAACTGTGAATCAAGGTGTGGTTCTCGATCACTGCAGGCTTGTCAGAAATTCAATTTCTAAGAAATTATGATGGAACAACTCAGTATAACATGCAAGTGTATGTTAAATCCAGCAACACCCTTAGAAAAGCACTGGTTCATCCCAAAGGCATGACAGTAGTGTGTTGCTGCTCAGTGCAGCAAGGAGTGCTCATAACGTTACACAGGAAAACCAGACAACCACTCCACAGACGCATGGCTCAACATAGAAGAACTCATCAGGACCGACTGTTTTCAGGATGATAATGTTCATACTTTGGCCTGAGAAGCCATCAATGTCCACTCTGAACGACTATCATTGAAAAGGCACAGTGCCATCCAATACCAGCTATCAGAAACCTCAATACCTCCCTCCTGATTTTCTATCTTTAAATGGTAAGTGGACTGATTCTTATATAGCGCTTTTCTACTCTCCTGGCGTACTCAAAGCGCTGTATACAACATGCCACATTCACCCAATCACACCCATTCTCACAAGCACTGACTCTAAACTGAGTGCTTTTCTAACAACATTCACACACATTCACACTCCGATAGATGCATCAGAGAGCAACTTGGGGTTAGCTATTTGCTTTTAGAGTTTTTCACTAGCCACAGCCAAAAATCTGTCAAAAATCTGACAGAGTGATGTAGGATAAAATTCATCATTTAAAAAGTGATATTTTTTTTTATATACTTGGGGTTACTTTTGTCTAATATTAATATAATGCAAATTAAAGGGGTGGCTGTAGCTCAGGAGGTAGAGCAGGTCACCTACTGATTGGCAGGTTGGTGGTTTGATCCCTGGCTCCTCCAGTCTGCATGCCAAGTATCATTGGGCAAGATAAAAAAAAAGGTTGCTCAGTTATTTCATGATTTAAAAAGGGGGTAATTATATTTTTCACACAGGGCCAGGTAGCTTTAGATCCCCCCTTGATTAATTAAATAATCATTTAAAACTGCATTTTGTATTTACTCGGGTTATCTGTGTCTAATATTGAAACATGTGTGACAAAAAAATGGGAAAAAAACAGGAAAGGGACAATTAATTTTTAACAGAACTGTATAATGCAGTCTTGAGATCCCATGTGATTCAACAGTCACACTTTGACCATGTGACCTTAATGGATTGCATGATGACATGACTCTCAGGACCACCTCCAATGGGACAAATCCACGAGGGGTTGAATACCTGAGACTCTTCATCAGTTTGCAGAACTGAAGAAGCCTCTTGGATGAGAGGTTAAAGGATTTTTGCAGTGCCTTGGTGCAGAAATACTGTAGAGATACTTACAGATACAGAGTTAGTCTTGGCCTCATTCTGGTGATAGATCTGTCAAGTAAATATCAATGCACATGGTGTTTTTATTTTAAATTTAAGCAGGAATAAAACAAAAAACAACTTTTAACCACATTGTTGGGGTCCAGGTGAGGGGCCAGCTACAGCAGCAGTGCAGCCTTAAACAAGAGGCCTTTCAGCAGCTGGATAAACTGCAGAACCAGATGAACGATGTGGAGGCAGCTCTCTCCAGAGGAGCTTCGACAGCAGGTAAAAGCCTTCCAGGCTCTCCTGATACTCAACAGGATGACAGACCAACAGCTCGCTTTGCCTGTAAGATTTTGTCTGCTTCAGACATTCTTGACTTGACATTTCACTCCTACTTTCTCGGTATCATTATATCACAGGTCAAAGCAGGACTTATTGCATGCTGTCAGTCAGCAGACTGAGTACTAGAAGACCCTCGACAGGTACTGAGCCCACCACCTTCATCTCAGAGCAGTGAAAGCAATAATGTAAAGCTGCTCATGCGGTTCATGAGTGAAATCGAAAGCCATCAGATTATCCAGACACTCATATCTTTTTGTGATGACATTTTAAATTTCTTTATAGATGTTATTTTCACACTGCAGCATAGCTCTCACTCTGTTCTATTTCTGTGTGCACAGGTCTGCACCGGAACAGGCAGCATTCAGCCCTGCAGCCTGGCAGCCTCACAAACTACACCACACCTCAGGACTTTGCAACAGAGCCAAGACAGCAGAGAGCAGAAACAGCCAGAGGTCTTTCAAACACGAGCACAGACAGACCTAAAGCAGTGAGTGAAATAATCACTTAAAAACTTGTTTCATCCCTAATGTAAAAAACAAGAAGGTGGGTGGGCGGATACTTTTTTACAGCACGGTACATTTTGGAGTTTTAAAGCATATTGAATTCACTGGTGTCCCAACTAATGAAGATTACGTCTACATAATAATAGGACAACTACTAAATGGTGAACGTAAAGCGAGAATGTGTGAAAATGCTTTTGCGGTCACCCATCTTCAAGGATTCAAGGAGCTTTATTGTCATTCGCATCACAAGTTAACATGAGGTGGAATGAAATTATGCACACACGGTCCCGGAGCGAAAAAAATAATAATAATGAAGTTTTTTTGTTTGTTTTTTTAACAAACAGAATAACAAGTAATAAAAGACGTCAGACCGGTATAGCAGGGTGCCCAGTTTTATCTCTTAGATGTTCATCTTGAATCCGCCTTTGTTTCTCTTTCAGGATCTGTGTCGCCTGCGCCTCCCAACAGCCGAGGCTTTGTTCCCAGATCTGTGAGGTGCAGCAATCAGTCACACACCCATCTTGATTAGCAGATTAGCTTGCTGTAGGCTTGCCTGTAGTGTTTTATAGCTCTGTGTGAACTGAATGTTATCTATTCCATTCCCAAAGCTGTGACATGCATGTCTTCCCTTTAACCTACAGCACAGCATCTTGATGTTGCTCCTCTTCATATTTCAGTAACTTTTTAAATATATTTAAAATAAACATTTTCAAAGCTCTTAACAAAACCCTTATCACTGATATTTTACTTTCTGGATATTTCTATAATTTGCCTTTATTTTTATCAATCATGTTTTGGCAATCCGTACTTAACTTTTGTCAATTAATAGCATTACATCATGTCTACTTAAGGTTTCTAATACTCATATTGGATATAGACCGTTTTGAGCTTATTGCAAATTTATCAGAGGAATCATGTCAAAGTTCATTTTTCAGTTGTAGAATGAGTTTGGTCACATCTTATGAAATAAAACCAAATGATGACATTTTTAAGTGGGCAAAAACAAAAACCTGTTTTGTCGTAAGCTCTAAAAAAATCATTAAAAATAATAACTGTTTAGCATCTGTTGCATAGTAAATGTCTTCTGTTCAGACTGTACATAAAAGGTGGACATAGCCATGTTTATATCAACCATTTGATTGTGAACAAACCTTTTAAAGACTCGAATTGAGCATTTTGGAAGTGAGGATCTTGGAACCAGTCATACCTGCAAAAGCTACCCGCTTTATTATCACCAATTTTACAGTAATTAATAAAATGATTAAATACCATTAAATACAAATTCAGGTTTAAGACACTTTTCACTTTTCAAACCTGGAAACTGAAAAATATCACATTTGTTTGTTTGGGAGTTCCTCCATTATGGCTCCTGATATTCCTGCCTTACGTGTCATGGACTAAGATCTGAGTGCTGCACCCAGCTGATGTCCTCCAAGGCCTCAAGGGTTTTCACACATGGCCACTAACAACATGTCATTAACTTCAGCATCATTTTGGGTGTTTGACAATCATGCTGATGATGTAGGATCAACTGTCGCTGTATTCCCCAGCTGGATGATAAAAGGCTCTTTCTGACTGCTTTTGGCGAGTAACATAGTGCTGCATTCGAATGGAAGTGACAGATTTGTCTACAGACACATGCCAGTAAAAATGGCGCCCTTTCACACATGATTGCTGCAGCACTGAAGCAAACTTCTACTTTGAAGTCGAACCTTCTCCTTTTCTGGTTTGTGTCCGACTTTATCATGATGTACTATCAGTTGGCCGGTAGCTGGCAAGTATTTGCCGACAGACATGGAAAAACTCCAGGTAACCATGGCAATCTGCTTGCAACCAAAGCAATAACCAGAAGGGTTTTGGTTCAACACCTTTGTGTCTGGGGGCTCTTTGGATCACTCATATCAATCTGACACCTGTCGTAATTAGTTAACCAGGTGAGCTCAATTAAAGGAAAACTACTTAAGACAGATGTTCCACATTAATCATGCCACAGTTTTTAAGCAATATGGCAAAGAACAAGGATCTGCTGCAGAAAAGTGTCAAATAGTGCAATACCTTGGGCAAGGTATGAAAGATATTAGATATTTCACACACAAAGTGTGATCATTGTGCTGCGCAGAAATTTGTGGCACAAATAAAGGCATAATGAGGAAGGTATCTGCCAGACAAATTCATCAGATTACAGTGGTGTAATGTGTGGAAGGAAACACAACAGTATAAAAAGGTATGCTTATATATTTTTTATATAAAAAATTAATTAAAGAAAATACAAACTTCATCTTTTAATACTGCTACCTTTGACTATGGTCAGTTTTGTCTGTATATAGTTGATCTCCACAGTAGCACCATCAGATCTAAGTTCCCGGTGGTCCGGATCACTCTCAGCTCTCCTGTGGCAGTCCGGTGGTGTACAGGTAGGACACAGTTCCTGATTGGATCTGAAATGTCTGTCCTTGGATGTGATGGTTGGAGATCTGCTCGCTAGTCTGACTGATGGAGATCGGTTGGCTGCTCTGGCTGCTGACGTGAATAGCCCGGCCTTGTTGTTGTTCCCTGCTCACCTGCCCCTCCGAGGGCTCCTGAGCAACAGGCAGCTGCTGGATTGGCTGATGCATCACCTGCAGCTGTTGAATGGGACGCTGTGTTATCTGAAAGGGCTGCGGAGGACCGTGATGGGCCTGCAGCTGCTCCATAGCCTCTTTACTCAAAGTGATAACATGCATCTGCTCAGCCTGGTGCATCATCTGACCCTGCAGCATACTGATAGTGTGGATCTGAGAGGTCTGATCCACCACATCACCCTGAGTGACCAATGCCACATTGTGCACGTGCCCCGATGGCCGGGCGAGGAGGGTGAGTTTAGAGGGGGCTGACTGAGCCATCTCTCCCTCTGTGCTGATGAGGCTGATCTCGTGGTCCTGCCCCGGGATAAAGTTAATGTGGTCCACATCCTCCGTCACCACCACCTGGAGCTCCTGTTCAGAGGTGGCAGGCAGCTGGTACTGCTGCAGGTGAAGGATATTTTGCACCTCTTCCTGCGGGGCTCCAGAGCCATCTTTTGCTGCAGTATCCGATGAGGCCTCTCCACCCGCAGCTCTCTCCTTGTTGTGGGATTTGGTGTGTGTTTTCAGATTGTCCAGGCGTGTAAAAGAAAGGCTGCAGAAGGAGCAGGTGAAGGGTTTCTTCCCCGAGTGGGAGGCAACATGTCGTCGTCTTGCACTGGGGTCTGAAAAGGACTTCTTGCAGATGCTGCAGTTATAAGGCTTCTCACCTCTGCAAAACCAGATATTGAGGCAGTTATGACCACATGTCTCCTCCTGGGTCGTATATTATACAGCAGGGAGCAAAAACTGTTAAAAGTGGAGTGAAAATCAAATATAACAGCTGACCTGTGGATTCTGATGTGAGTCTGCAGTGTGCTCTTGGCTGTGAAACATTTTCCACAGATTTCACAAGTGAAAGGCTTCTCACCTGTGTAAACGTTAACACCATCAGCTGCTGCAGTACACGTTTCCAGATATAAAGCAGATATCAATAGCAAAAGAAGGACTTGGAGAGCTGATCTTACCTGTATGAGTTCTCACGTGCTTTTTCAGTTGAGCTGCATCCATAAACTTGTGATGACACTGAGCACATTCTGGCAATGATTTCCCTTTATGTAAAAAAAAAGATTCAATGATTTTACCTTCAGATTGATTGAATACACTGACCAGATCTCTTGCAGTTTCCCCATGTCTTACCTGTGTGAACTCTGTAATGGCTTTTAAGTTGCCTTTTCTGAGTGAAGGTCTTTCCACATTTATCACAGTCAAAGGATTTCTCTTCTAAAGAAGCAAATAAAACAGAGCTCATGAGAGATCAGCATCACAATATGCTAGAGCACTTTGGCTTTAGTGCCATTAAGAGAAGGAAGTCATCTCTACAGCCAATATCCATCCAAAACTAGGCAACTCACACCAAATTAAACTAGGTAAATCAAAAGCACAGGCAAGACACGAAATGTGGGCATTTGATTTTTGGGCACATTTAAAAGAGTTGTATTAAGAAGTAATAGGTAGTAAACTGAAAATCTTTCCGGTTTTCTTAGCCAGAGAAACAAAACACTTTAATTCTTCTTAGAACATCTTTTTACCCCTTAGTTGAAAAAAGCTTTTCCCCTACATTTCTTCATTTATGTTAAAGAAGGCATGTATTTACTGGGCCCAAGTGTATCTAATAGAAGTAAAATGTAGTGTTTCATTATATTATAATAACACGTGAGATCCCAATCTACAGCACAGTTATTGCCACTGTGCATTTTTAGGGGCTAAATATGTTAGCTGTGTTGCTTTGCAATGAAGACAACTGTACAGCACCGTTTGCATAAGTTCCTGGTTTACATCCCTTGCACTGAATCCAAAGTATTTTGAAACGGTGGATAACGATCCATTTCTAGGAATCCAGACACTGGAATGTGGTTTGATGGTCTGTTATCTGTTCTATATCTGCTTGTTCGTGTAGTGTTAATCTTTTGGGCTACATCCAAGACTTCAATCTGCACAATGCAGTGAACAGCTCGTCAGACGGTGCTTTAAGGAGTGCCTGATTTGCTTTGACTTTGCATTCTATTGGTGAAACATAGCCTTTCAATACCGGCTGATTGTGTTCATTTCTTTTTACCTTACAATATAAAGCGCCTTGAGGCGTTATATAGATAAAGTTTAAATGAAGTACCCAATCAGAAGAAAAAGCTGGTGAGGAGGGTTGTATGCCATCCTGAAAGCTACTGTTCGAATTAAAAAAAAATACAGCTGAAATTAAGAATAGTAGGTCTGACGTAATCACTGCAACAACTAACACTTTCTACATTTCTCAAATCAGACTGTAGATCAACTTTGTTGGAAAGATCACTTTCAGGAAATTATGAGGATTCCTGGAAATTACTTGTAAACAAAGTTACTACTTATCAAACATGAGAAACTGAGAAGTCAGTTCATTGGGTCCTACCTTCATGGAGGTTCATGTGCTCTTGCAGGGAGTGTTTGGTGCAAAGCGCTTTGGAGCAGACGGTACAAACAAATGGCTTTTCTCCAGTGTGCATGCGCTGGTGAGCCAGCAGAGTGTGCTTCTGGGTAAAACTCTTCCCGCAAACCATGCAGTGGAAAGGCTTCTCACCTGGAGTTAAAGAAAGTAGTTGTACTTTTACAGGTGCGGATGTGATTAGTGACTGCTAAACTCTCCTCAGTCGTAGTCATCTGTACTTGATAAGTGTTTCTATTTTTTATTTATTTATTTTTCAGCACAACATTTGAAAAGTTAAAACACTTATTTTTATTACAGTTGAAGGAATGAAGTCCTTTTTTAAACGATGTCCAAAAACTCTAGAAAAAAGGCCAAATTTGTATTAAACCTCCATTCTGACCTCTCTTTAAATCAGAGTGTAATTACCTGTATGAGTGCGCTGGTGAATCTTTAAAAACAGGTGGCTTTTAAAGACTTTTCCACAGTCCTCACATCGTGCCTCAGTGTCAGGGTATTTCCTTTTCCTACCCCTCTTCCCAGGCTCCTTGTGTCCTGCTGTGTTATTGCCCACTTTGTAGCCCTTATATTTTACCGGTGTGTTGATTTTGCGTTTGCTCTGCCGGCTTTGGTGTTGTTCGGGGTCCTCATTTCTAGGCTGAGACTCAGTTTTTGGATTATCTCCTGCCTGTCGGTCCTCTGAGCTCTCACATGGTTCTCTTCTCCCCACCAGCTCTGTCACAGATGCTCCTACATCTTTCCTTGGCCGCCCTCTTTTGCGCTTCACCAGCTCTGCGTCTTCAGCTTTGTTTGCTTGAGCATCATTGCATTTGACCCCTGCTGCAGAGCGAGTTAGGTCAGTGAGCACTTTGACAAGGTCACCGACTTCCATTCGATGAGCTGTGGCCAGGAGCTGCTCTGTGGCGCTCTCCTCCACAGACACCTGGGCGCTGTAGATGAACTCCAGCACTGCTGCAAACATGTTTGGTGCCATACCGTCCAGCCGGTGGGTGGACCGATGGGTCTGATCTTCTGCTGTGAACATGAAGGAGAAGTACTCACTGCTTGCTGCCAGCAGGGCTTTGTGAGCCTTGAACTGCACATCCTCCACGACAAGAGTAATGTCACACAGCAGGTCACTTTTCCTGAGCTTGTTGAATTTGCTCAGGATGCTCTGTTTATGTGACTCTGAATGAAGGTGAGCCATAAGCGATGAAGGTGGACTTGTTGATTTTTGAGACATCTTTGCTGCAAAAACAACCACATCTGTCCCTTAAATGAATAATGAGAACATATGAAAACAAGATGAGTGTACAGTTAGTTTAAAATTTTAGATGAACTCATCATGGGCATGAAGGTCATGTGATTTTGGGCTTTTAAAGAAGACATTTATGCCCATTATGATATGAATATATGTAAACTTCTGACCTCAGCAGTTTATATATATGTTTGGCTTATATCAGAGGTACAGTGTGTTTTTAAATATATGATCTTTTTCGTATTACCACTGCTATTACTACTTACTGATACATGACCAGAGGAATCTACATTATCCGTTTATCCATTAGTAAATGTTCAGTCTTTAAAAATGAAGGACAAATATTAATAACAACAGTTTCTCAGGAATTTGTCACATTTAAGACACCAGACATGGTTGGACTGTCCAAATACGAGTCTGTCGTGTAAGCATACAGTTGGTATTACAGAGCTGATTAATCTGTAGTGATCAGTCCTGCTAAACTAACAAGAATATTCTTCATATTGCAATAAAATAAATAATAGAAGTATAATAAAAACTGTCTATAATGTTGGTCGTTGTTTAGTTTATCCTCATGTTTTCAAAATCAAAGTTGAACCCATACTGGTATTTACATTCACCTCATACATTAACTTACAGATAATATTTTGCACTGTTTATCACGTTCATGCAGAGTTCACTGACATTCAGCTTAAATGTTTACAGACGAATGGATGTTAGCAAGCAAGCTAATTGTCTCAAAGCAAACAATGCACCGCCGCTGTCTTGAAAGGAGGGGGCACGAGAAGCAGAAATGGCGAAGAATGCGACCGAAATAATGCTTTCAAAAGAAGTTAACTAATAATTTTTGGTCTGGTGACAGGACTTGGACGTATAAACTGCGGTTTAATTTGAAATAGTCAGCTTTTAGGACCTTACCTTCGCTCGCTGGACGGACGAGAGCGTGATATGAGCCACCTATCGCGAGATGTGAGGTTCTGACGAGATCCACGCCGAGCTACCACTGAGGGTCGCACCTTTCCCCGTCAATCAACCCTTTCTTCTCGGTTAATAAAAGTTTGTTCAAATTGTTAAATAGGTGGCATTATGGGAATTATTTTATTTTAATAATTCAGTGGGTTTTTGCCTTTTAAAATAACTAATAAACTATCATAACTAATGAAATTTGATTCAAAAATTGACTCCAAAGCGCTGATTTGAAGTGCGTTCCCGAGAGAAAAACAGAGAAAGAGAAGGAGAAGGAAGAAGGAGACAGTTTTATTTTAGGTGGGTGGATACATTTGCATTGTCGAGCTTTCGGTGTGTATAAGGCTTATTTATCTGTATAGGCATTTTCGATTCCTTACAACGCACTGCCACATGCTTTATTTCATTAGTTGTTAGTTTGCACTCTGGAGAGCCATACAAAGTGGCGCATTCAAGCAATGGCTATATTTAATATCCACACATCTTAGGCATATCTTTATAGAACTTTGCTGCTATATTTGTTGCGATTTCTGCTCTTCTCGGCTAGGTCTAGGGATTTTTTTTTAATGTCAATGGGACTTTGTTTTTAAAGTGAGCCATACAACATGTATTTAGTTTAGATTATACTTCCATATTAAGCAAACTTTCTTCTAATAAAAAATAAATTTCAAAAGAAATAGTTTTTATTTTGAAATGCATAACGAAAATAGAATATATTTTCCAACATCATATCAGCTACATTTCACTAATGTCTAAGGTATTCGTACCTTTCCAACAAAGCAGTTGGCAGTGGATTTTTGTGTGGTTGCTGTTACAATTGCTAGAACTTACAGCTAGATATATAATTTGATTATTTTGTGATAATTCTAAGAAAAATACAGATGATTCATTTAATAAATATACTTCCACAATCTGTAAGACAGTTTCAGCTGCAGCAATAACTAGAATACACATTTACGCATTGTGAAAAAGAAATTAATCAGGAGAGCCTTTTAACTGAAGTTTGGCTGGTGGACCCCCTTCTTTTCATTCCACCATCAATTCATCAATTCCCTCCAAACCTTTCTGGGGAGAACAACCCCCCCTTTAGCCATTTCTGTGCCTTTATCCTCAGCTTCCTGTTCCACCCCGACCCGCTGGGTCTGTGCAGAGGGCAAGTCTGCAAGTAGTTCTTTAAATGGTGAATTTGGAACTTTTCAGACCCCAGAAAAGCACACACATACACATGTATATTGTATGTGACAATGCAGTAATTAAAATGTTGTGTAATTTTATATATTGTTCACTATTTGGCTGTTCATCTTCAAGAGCTTTAGTCATAGAAATGTATCATAATTAGTATCAGTAATCCTTAATACACTAAGAAATGTCAGGGTGTTTGAGAGCCTGTGAGAAAGAGAGCTCTGTTTTGTAAGAGCTGCTTTTTATTTATTTGTAAAAGGCAGGATTGAGGCACCGTGAGTTTTTGAGGTCTCTTAAGGCAACATTAACAACAAAGTCTTTGAAACGAACACTAAATAATGAAATTGAGAAAATGATTTTGCAACTTCTTGTGAAGTTGTTCAGGTGAAAGTCTCAGGTTCAGCAGAGGACATTGCTGCACATACAGGGTGATTTGTCCTTGTATATAACCCTAAAAGGACAATCAGAACTGTTATATTTTAAACAGCTACAGCAAATGCAAGACTTGGACATTTGGTACACCAGTAGCCTTTGTTGTTTGTTGCTCTTACAATGACTGTTTCGTAATGGACAATTTGAAACGCGTGGAATAAGATAAGGGTTTTATGTGATTGAACCTTGGACTAGGGTGTCAGTTAAGATGTTGTGATAATGATGTAACATGTTTATACCCAGCAAGTCGTTGAGTAACTTTTAAAAGAGTCATAACAAAGGTTATTTGGCATTTAGTAAAATTCTCTTGTCGTTTGAGGCGCAGAGCTGCCATGATGAAAAGCGTCAGGGTTGTGGTTGTTGGAGCTGGCGTGATTGGATTCTCCACTGCTGTGTGCATTGTTGAAGCTCTACCTTTCTGCTCTGTTACTTTGATGGCTGACAAATTCAGCCCGGACACAACTAGTGACGGAGCTGCTGGGATTTTGTTTGCGGCACAATTTCCAGGTAAGTAAACAGGATCTGTCTCAGAGATTTACACTACAGCTGCACCACATTATGCAATGCATATAAAAATAAAAACGCAGTGCACATTTGCTTTACATGATGCATTTCTCCATCAGATATTCCCTTGCAAAGACAAAGACGCTGGTTCAAGGACAGCTTTGATCACCTGTTGGCCATCGCTCAGTCTCAATGTGCACCAGAAGCTGGAGTAATGCTGAGCTCTGGGTAGCAATTGATACTTGTATACGATGCTGTAAAAGTTGAGTACTTAGCCCGATCCATTGTCGAACAACTGACTTCTCTACTAATTTCTTGCAGCTGGCAAATTTTTAAAGAGGTTCCAGCAGTTAAAAAACCATTCTGGTCAGAGTTTGTGATCGGCTTTCGACTCATGACTGATGTTGAACTGAAACGCTTCCCAGATCACAAGTTTGGTCAGGCTTTCACCACCTTAAAATGCGAATGCTCCACCTACCTGCCATGGCTCGAGAAGAGGTTCATCCCTTACATTAAACTTCTTTTATCACGTCATACTATTATATCCACAAGCTTTTAATTACAAATGAACTCTACTTAATTTAAAGTTCGTCATGTTAACATCATAAATTCTTCTCTAAAGGTTCAGAAAAGCTGGAGGTCAAGTGGAACAGAGGAAAGTCAACAATCTTCAAGAATTGAGTAACAGCTTTGATATCATTGTCAACTGCTCCGGTCTCGGCTCCAAAGTATTGGTGGGAGACACACAAGTATACCCAGTCAGAGGCCAGGTCCTCAAAGTGGAGGCCCCCTGGGTGCAGCACTTCATTAGAGATGGAGATGCGACGACGTACATCTACCCCGGCATACGCAGTGTCACTATAGGCGGGACGAGGCAAGAAGGAGACTGGCGGCTGCAGGTGGACGACAGAGACACTAAGGGCATCCTGGAGCGCTGCAGAAGGTTGGAGCCGTCACTCAACAAAGCCAAAATTCTTAGCGAGTGGGTCGGCCTGAGGCCCAGCAGGAAGAACCCAAGGGTGGAGAGGGAAGTGGTGGAGATGCAGGGCCGGCCGGTGCCTGTAGTCCACAACTATGGCCACGGGGGTTGGGGAGTTACCCTCGCCTGGGGTACTGCTCTGGACACACTGGGGCTGGTCAAACAGTCCCTTCATGAAATGGCCCCACAGCCTAAACTGTGAACACATTCTAAATCCCACTTCTACTCAGGGCTACTAACACAACCTAAGCTAAGCACAGACAGAACACTTAGTAGATTTAGAGTAGATTTTACATAAAAAAAGACTATATATAAGAAACATTTATGGAAATATAATTATTTAATAATTTAATTTAACAGTGGTGGAGTTTTAATTTAACTAATCGTTAATAAGTTTTCAGGATATATACCCCTCATTACATCTTTCTGTAACAGTACTGTAAAAACATCAGATTTATTTAAGAAAAAAAAAGCATTTACTGCTGTTATTTTTATGCTTATAATACATAAGAACATTTTCTGTATCACTATTTAGTGGAGATAATGTTTTGCATTGTCTGGAAACATTCATTTTGTTATCATAAAAGCTGATTGCCTGTTAATAATTTTAGGTTCCTTTCACAGCAGATGTTTTGATTGGGGTGTTCCTAATATAATGAAAAAGTCCTCTGGTTCAGCAACCCCACAGTGTGACATTGTGTCAATAAACCCTGAAAAAGAAACGGCTTATTGCTTTTTCTAGTTTGCGCCCGTACTTTGCCATCTGGGGCAAAATTGTCTGTATAGGCCAGCTGTCATTATTGTATTATATATTTATATATAAACACAACAACAACAACAACAAAACACTCAGTTCATATTAACAGTTTGAAAATGTTCCATTACAGTGAACCCAGAATGAGTAAATTATTCATGAATGCTTTGTGTTGAAAAATGACGACTCTGAGCGAGCGCTGCTGCTTGTGTAACTGTTGGACTCTGCAAAGGTCCACTGCAGAGACAAACCAGATTCAGCTGAATGGGGATCACTGAAACTGTGACCGAGGGGGTCAGTAGCTACATGAATGTGGTTTAACAGCGTAAGCACAGACCTTCACGTTTACACTTTATATTTTCTTTAAAACCTGTGGTTAGATTTTCAGAATTTCCATTTAGCTGAAAACCAGAAATCAACCGCTGTAAAGTCAAACCTTTCTGTACTGAACTTACTGTACAGACCTTGTTAGAAACCAGCTCCACCGCCAGATTTACTTCTTAGTTCTTTTCGTTTCAGCCGACAAGCTTCAGAAGTGGCTGAAACTGAAGCACCCTTCCTTTCTCCTAGAAAGATGTGCTCTCTGTCGGGCATTACTGTCGGTAAGGGCTCTCGCGCTGGGTTTAATAAGGAAGGTGTAGCTACATGGTCGCTGGACCTTTTGGGTGAAGCTGTGGGTGGCGGCTCTGGGTGTGCCTGCTGTGTTGCTATGCTGGTACATGCAGCAGTGCATGATGTCCTACATGAAGCGTGGGAGGATGGACGCACGACTGTCAGTGGGTTTTTTGTGCTCTTTTTGTACAGATTTAAGTCTTTAGGGCGGAGGAGGAGTCTTCTCTTCTGATCTTTGTGGAGAATCGTCAGGGAGAAGCAGCGGCGTAGCGGAGTCTGTGCTGCGTTTCTTCTTAGCTCCATGCAGCTGTGGCTCCTAGCAAAGGATCTGCTCTGAATACAACCTTTTATTGAGCTCAAACCGCGCTTTGGGAGGTTAGGATGGACATGGGGGAAGCATCTGGGTTTACTGTGGGATGAAGACTTGCTGGACTGGATGGAGGTGAGGGGCAGGGGGAGGACAGGGTACTCTGGGGATGGGAGGTGGCTGGACTCAAAGCCAGATGAAGATCTGCTGATGGTCGAGCGTGTCTTTTTGCCCCTTCCTGAAATAAACAAGTGGAGTGTGCGCAGATCATACAGCTGCCAGGCAGTTGTGACATGTATCTGGGTTAAACACAACAGCAGCAGAGCAGGGAGTCTTGGAAAGTGTCTACTTTGAAATGACACCAAAGAGAAAAAAGTCAAAACAAGCAGCTAAATGTGCACTAAAATGAACGATGGGTAAAAGAAAAGCAGCAAGCAGTCAGTTGTGGTAAAGCATGGAGCGATTTATTCCTCACACTCAACCACGACAGAAGCACACTTCAGAAAATGCTGAGACTTCAGGGCCTAAACGTGCCACACTTCAATGAGAAGTTGGTTAAACATTTTAAAGTAGCCCTCTGCATTTTTGTGCATTTACAATGATACAAAATGCCTTATTTTAAACACTTACACTGTTAAGTAAATATTTTAATTCTGCTGCAATATGCAGTCTTCAGGCACGTGATAAAATATTGTGCAACATTAGGTTTTACTGGACTAAAAAAAAAAAAAAATACACACAAACATCAGAATCTTAAAGGAAATACACTTTAAGGTGAGCCTGATCATACATCGTACTCCAATCACGTGACATTCAGAAAGCACAGCTCTTTGCATTTCGACAGTTTGTAGACTTAAGTCTAAAGAGAAAAACCACTGTAAGCATGATACAGCTGTGAATAAAGCGAGCACTTACAGCAAACTGTACTGTTTTTAATGTAAGTAGACCTAAAGCTTGTTTAAACACTCTCATCACACAACAGCCACCACTTTCAGCAAATGCAAAAACCACCACACAAGTCAACACTGCCGATCTATTTGTAGATCTGCAAGCTGCTCTGCACACAGCTTCTTCCAAGGCCTGAAAAATATCACTGCTCAGCTCAACATCAAGTAAGTCAACTTGCTAGCCCCTTGTTACCTGTCCTCTGTATTATGTTGAGAAGGCAAGTGATGCCAACTTTCAGAAGCACTGAACAGACAAGTGACCGCAAAACAGTTTGATTCAGTGATGCAGAAACGGAAAAAAAGCATGACGATGCTTGAGGAGGGAAAAAAAACGAAAACATGAAGCGCTAGAAGTAAATGCGACGACAGCAGAGTCTTTCCAGAAGAGCATGGAAACGGAGTCTGGTGGATTGGAATGCTTGAGCTGGAGAGTCTTTCTAGACAGGGATGAGGCAGAGGAGGGCTGAAGAAGCGTACAGTGTTCACAGGCGGGTCAGGTTGTCATTACCGTTCTCCAGGTTCTCGTTACTCTCATAGCAGCCAGAGTCTCGTGGGGAGTCTCCCAAGAGGCCACGCCTGTCCAGCAGCAGCTTCTCCTGTGAGCTTTCAGACTGACCGCTTCGCTCTGGGTCGCTGCTTCCTGCAATGCACAACGCCGCCACCAGGGGCATGACAGTCAAAAGCTGTGACTTCCAGGTCATTCTTTCCGATGGCCAGCAGGGGGCAACTACTCAGACTTGGTTAGAAGAAAAAATACCCCTTTGTGACCTCAAACAATTTCCTGATATTATGGTCCCAGTTGCTAGTTTCAAGCCATACATGAATTAAATGGTAAAATTTTGCAAATTACAGTGGCTATTTGAGTTAAAGAGGATTATGCAGGATTTGTTCATTTATTCTTGAAAATTTAACTATTAAACCATGAGATGCATCAACAACAGAAAAAATGTCTACAGAAGCTGAAACCAAACTCAGACTGTGTGTCTACTGCAGACACAGTATTTAGATACTGATCTGTACATCTAAACCCTCAAATATTCTAATTTGAAATGTGGCCCTTGGATTGAGGACGTTTCTATAATAGAGCGAGACTTTCTGTTGTTTGTCTGACCCACCATCATATTCTTGCAGCAGCTCCACAGCGGTGAGCAGCACGGCTCTGTGTTGCGAGTCTGTGATGTTGAGTTCGTCCAGGTCCTCCTCCTCTAGCAACTTAAATGTGTCTAGATCCTCGTAACCGTTAAAAAGAAACGTGGGGAGGTGCTCCTGTAGAAAGGCGTTAATAAAAAGGTGCACAAACAGATCCATTAAAATATGTAAGAGGGATGCCATTTGAGCATGCACATCTTGCAAAACAAATATGAAGTAAGCTTAACTTAAAAATTTCCCAACACAGATGAAAATGAAAAGTAATCAATTTAAGCTACAGGTAAAATTTGTAAGTTTGACATTTTAGAAAATACTCCTATTGGCCTGCTGTGAGTAAGGTGAAGCTTAAGACTGAAAGGAGAGGGAAGCATCATACAAAATAAAGGCAAATCTCACTAAATGTTAAAACTCTTAATATAGAAAGCTTAATATAACTATCACTTTTATACTTCCATATAACTTAACTATCATATCTAGTTGCTTTTGCACTTTATTTCCCCGTGGATTTAACAAACAGTATGTAACACCTTACTAGTGAGGAGGTGGGGGAATAATATTAGTCTGTACAGATCTGAAGGTGGTTGCTGTTATCAACTCTCAAAAAGAAAGCACGTAAGTGTACTTCCCCTAAATGTCAAACTGTTCCTTTAAATAGAGCTAAAACCAATCACATGCAAGTATTTTAGTCACTGCTTTTAATCACAAATGCACGCCTGTTTTTACTTTGAGGTTGATGCGATCAAGCAGTTCCTCCACAGAGGTGGGTTTGGGTTGCCGGGCCTTTCTCCTCCTGCGTGTTTTCTTGGGCTTCACCTCCTCTTCGTTCAGAACATCCACATAAATGAACTTGAAGGTTCCGACTTTACCGTTGAGCATCCCCATCCACGTACCCATCGGAGGCTTACTAATGACATCGATGATGTCTCCGCTCTGCGAATCGAGATAAGCTGAGCTTAAGTTTTATGGTTTTTCAGTACGAGCTCATATCTAAGTAGTGAGCAATATAACATAGCCTACCTTCAGCTTTAGGGAGTCGGTGTCATAGGGACTTGGAGTGAAATCTGTGTGAACCAGAGCACGTCCACAGAAGGGTCCACGGTAAGGCAGCTCGTCTTCCTCTCCGTCCTCAGACTTCACACTCTCTCTGTTGCTGTTGGAGGAGTCGGTGGTGCCCACCGTCTGACCACCTGCACGAATCAGAAAAGAAGACGTCACATCAAGACCACAAGTTATCATGGGTCTGTTAGTATCTGATAAATATTATAAATGTTCTTCTTTACTTGAGGAGTTACAGTTTGTTTTTTTTAACCACAGATGAATACAGCGAGATCAGAATGTTTAGACTACTTCAAAGGCGATAAACATCAAGTTTAAACAAATACCGAGAGTTATTAGAATATACACGACACACAGACATACTCATGGAACTCTGTCCGCTGAGCGAACTCCTCAGGCTTTCCACGGACCCTCCTGGCTTCAGTTTGGGCTTCTCCAAAGAGTCCGAGTCTGTCTGAGGCGAGTGAGGGCAGCTGGAAGAGCGATCTGGACTTGACTGGAAGATATAAGGACATAAAATATTCATTACGCCTGCTTAACAATCCTCACACCCATACTTTACAATGATAACACACATAAATGCTTCTAAAAACATACCTGCTCAGAGAGAGAACTATGGTATCGCTTGGAAATGTGTTTGCGCATCGTCTCTCTCACAGACTTGACTTTTTTACCCAGAGAGATACGAGGTGTTGGTGGGAATTTAACGCCATCTCTCAAATCCCCGTCTCCAGTTTTGATCTAATTTACAAAGCACAGAGAAGTAAAAAGGATGGAAATAAGTAAATGAAGTTAAACTTATAATTCATATTTATTGAGATAGCTTTAGGATTCCTTGCACAGCTTATATGTTTTAATAAATCTTGTGTACTTGATATTTATACTTCATAATCTCATATTTACTTTCATATCTGTGTCACAAATTTTTATGGCTCTCTATTTAATTTCATCGTTTTTGATCCATTCTTGTTGCACACAGTGGGCTACACAATACTGCGTATATTCTCTACATATTACAGACAATAAAGTTGACTTTGATTCAGGTCACATTTAGTGCCACATACAGTGTTATCGTTCTCAGGGCTGACTGCAGTCACTGAGCGGTTGGTCAGGTCGAATCCTCCAAAGCTAGAAGCTCTCTGTGAAAAAACAAGAGAAAGCAAGAAATGAGATTTTAGAGCACGGTGGAAAGTGTTCTGCTGCAGGTGCAATTTTTTCCCACCATTTATGCTTTCAAGCCACAAGAATAACAACATAACTGACATATGAATAAATAAAAAAAGACGGTGTTATGGAAAATGTACACGTCTATTGGTTTGTTAGTTCCTGGAGTTGCTTTTTATTCATTCTTAAATAGACTTCAACTATGTTTACGTTTAACCAGGATCAGTGATGGTGTATGGTACCACTGATAGGCACCAGTCTTGTTTAGTTAAGCATTAATCCCGAGTTTCTGTACAAATACAAGACAACAAGAAGATAAGAATAAGAGTCTATTATGTACAAACTGTGACATGTTTAGGAATTTAGAACTTTATGTGAGTGCGCCTTTAAGCCAGTCAGACTCTCTTTCAAACTAAAAGGCCAGTTTAAATGGGCAGTTTGTTGTTGCCTCATTGAGACGCTTAAATAATGGTACCAATGGTGCAAACTCACTAACAATGGACGTGAAAAGATTCGTTACTAAACAACAATCTAGACTGCAGTCTTTATTTAAATGCGCCTGTGTACTCACCCCGTGGTGACTGAGTGGGTTGAGGACCGGGTGACGCAGCGCGCCATCGGTCACCGAGCGTGCAATTTTGGGTTCCTCACTGCAGCCCTCTGTTTCAGAAAAGGAAGAGCCTTCACCTGGCTCCCTCACCTCCCCTGCTATGTTGGTCTCCTGGTGAATAGGGCTACCACTAGACTTGCTCAAGGTCTGGAAGGTCTTTTGGCTACTGCAGGTGTCCACACTGCTGGTTGACGGCGAGGTGGTCAGGCTGTCCGGGTCTCGGTTATAGGAGAGTTGCTCCTGCAGGGTTGAAGCCAGGAAGTCCACTGGACAGACTAAAGGTTTCCTCTGCAAACCTGAATATAAAGAGATGCTGGCATCTCCACAGGGAAGGCCATCCGCATTCAGGCTCTCTGGTGGGTAAAAAGAGAACAGAAGAGAGTTTATTAACAATTCTAATAAAATCAGCAACTGCATTTATTAATTATTTGACAATAGCTGCAATTTGTGAGCCATTCATGGTCAATACTAAAGAGATAAGATTGTTACAGCATCTGCTGCTTCAGAGAGCTTTTCCAATCTGCCAATAAAACTGTATTTGATACTTTTATCTTTGGAAACTTGCCAGATTGTGGTTTTTTGAGCATTATTTAAAGCAGGAGAAAAGTAAAAACATGCTAAAAATATGCCACATAAATGCCACATTCAGCACCGAGGTGTGCCACACTGCTTCCTCTACCACATTAGATACTATCTGAGAGTAGTTTTAGTACCCTCTGCTCCAGGCCTCTTAGACTCATCAATCCTGATCAGCTTCTTCTTCGTTTTCCGAGTTGAGTTGACCAACTTGTGGAGCCTCCTGAATGTGACAGACTCCTCTTGTTCGTTGTCCGACAGGTCGCAGGGCTGATGGAAAAGAATAGTAAGAACTGTGTTAATAGACAACATCTGTAAGGTGAACAATACTTTGGCTCTGAGGCCTAATATTCTCAGTAGGTCAGAAGATATTATGCAACACTTTTGCTTTTTGTATACTACAGTGTGCAAACCTAAAAATGTGAGCCATCTTAATTACTCTCATTTCTAGTAACTCATCAGCGTACTTGCTGTGGATGCTTTGCAACTATTTGTTGTAGAAGCTTGTAGCTTAATATAAATATATGTGGTAGGAAACCACAGTGATGACACTGGGGCCCCGTGCAGAGAGCTAACACATACACAGTGGGTCACAGCAGACTAAAAAAAAGCCTTCTATGTACGGAAAATTAAATAGCTATCTGCTTGGAAATCACCTTAACCATTATCTGAAAATGTCAGTGGTGCATTTGCAGTCTTGGGTCATGCATGCTGAGCATTATCTGCTGACCATAACATCAGCGGCATGCATCTCTCAGAACAGACATCATGAGACCAAATGAAAGCTGATTAGCAGCTTGAAATATACAATAGAAGTTCAGAGTTAGAAGGATTTTTATTTTACAAAGGTCACATAAATACAAAAAAAAGAGAAAAGTGAGATTGATACATATAGTAAAGAGAAACAGTCAGGCCATACAGACTAATGTGAAAAATGTGCCCTGAACCTGAGCCCCCTAATCACCCCACCCACGCATAATAGAGCTGCAGCCTGCATAACAGAGCCCTGTGCTGAATCCACCCGCTCACCACAGCACAATAGGGGGTTAGGGCTTTGACAGCAATGAATAGAAGCTCGTCCAATGCCCTGCAGTTGGGAAAGGACCCTGAGCTGCAGGGCTTTAGAGGGGCCCTGGTTCATCATCGGGACAGAGCAAAAAAGAAAAGGGCACTGTCAACGCCTCAGCAGCGTTGGCACGGGTAAATCGGAGGTCCTCATGCACAACACACTGTCTGAAGTAGTGATTCAGCATTAAAAAGCAAATAAGATGCCCTTAGAGACTTACGTTACAGCTGAACGACTCATTTGGGGTACTGAAGGGATCAGTGGACTCCGTGAGATCAGCCTTGTATGTCTGTCTGTTTTGTATTTCAAACTCCTTCAGCTGCAAAAAAAGAATGAGCCTGTTGGTTAATGATGTAGATTTAGAGTCTATTATGAGGAGCCAATCAGTCAAAGAGGAAGTAATCCTGGAAAATGTAGTATGTAGTATTTTATGATGAATTATAAAAATTGCATGATATTCACTGTGCAGATTAAACCCTAGTTTGACCATATATCTGCATAAAAAGATTCAATTGTGCCAGGACTTTTTTTTTGTGATGCATGGATACAAAGTTTCCTACAATATGATAACACTTTCTTGTAGTTTATCCATAAAAATGTGTGTTTCCCCCCCACAAGGTCAAAGTAACACAGCAGCTGGATAATCTAAAGTTGAGTTTCTCTGGGATGCAGAACATCCTACCCGTGCCAGGGCTTCCTCTATGGAGATCATGTTTTCCTTCACCATCATCATCAGCTGAATTCGCTCCTCATCGCTCATCGTAACTTCACTGGCCACAAACCCAACATCATCACCTGCAAAAATTAGCAATGACACCTGACATTAAGGAACACGACGAAACACAACGAAATTTAAGAAACATTCTTAATGTCAAAAAAATCAAAAGCAATTTTTTTCGTGTTTATTTGAGGTACCTTTTGAAATCTGACGAACGACACCCTTCTGGGACTTCTTGAAACTTTGCCAAAAAGACTTGCTCTTTCGTTTTCCATCCCATTTTCCTATAACATATAAACAAATTTTAGCACAGGAGAAATTAAAAAAACAACAACAACAAAACAGATTCAAAGTATAATCACCTCAAATTGATAAACAGATAAACAATAAAGTAGTATGGTGAGGGAAAGAATTCCCTCCATTTCTCCAGAAGAAATCTTAGTGGTGATTATGAAGGATTAAGTGTGTAAATGAACAGGTGAAAACTCATATTTATTTAATATAGAATAAAAAATGAAAACAAAATATACCAGTCAAGTTTGGACTTACCTCCTGATCCATCGTCCGAGCTGGATTTGTGAACAGGAAACCTAAAAAATTAACAAAAAATATTCAGTTAATCAGAAAAGCTCAAATAAAAAACAAACAAACATCAAACTAAAAAACACTACACTACCTGCTGTCCAAAGTTATTTTCTTCATCTTTTTTACTGCTATCCTATCATTTCCCCAAACAACTCAACTTCAGATTAAAAAAAAATTAAATCAAAAATAAACTGAAATAAAAAAACAAAACAAACAAAAAACACACTGTGCCTCAAGACACTAGCATCACATTAGAGGCAAATCAAACAGACTGGCTCGCTCTTGGCCGATGAACACCGATCAGTGCTCTGCGTCCATCTCTGGAACAATGGAGCCCTGTTCTTGTCCGTTTGGGGTTTTGCAGCAGTGGCGGCACCAACGTGGCCTCTGCATTCCCTGCACACTTTCACTCTCTCTTTCTGCCTCTCTCTTCATCTCTCTCGACTGTTTGTTTGTGTCCGTCTTTCTCACAGCCTCTCTCTGTTCACGCTTCTTTGTGGTCATTCACGTTGAAGCCAGATCAAGTTTATGCTTTTAAATCGGACGTCACGGGTTTGTTTCTGATTATAGAGTTGCTTAGTAATATTTTAAATGCTAACTGCTTTGTTTGTTTTGTTATTGATTTGTATTTGTTGTGTGTCAGCCTGGTTTAAGGTTACTGTATCCAGAGTACGCAGGTACTGTGCAAAAGTCTTATGCTTCTCAACTTTTCTTTATATTTTGCTAGGAAAATTGGAAAATAGGTACAGCAACTGAACGATGTGCAAACAGAGTTTATTTAGGCCTGTGTCAGGCTGGCAACCTGTGCAGTATGAACCCCGCTTCTCGCCCTATTGTAGCTGGGGTAATCTCCAGCCCTCTGCAACCCTGAATTGGATTAGCAGAAGAGAATGGATGTATGTACAATTCCACTCAGCTTTAAAGCTGATATTTGGTATGACCACCTTTATTATTCAAAAGTCTGAACTCTCTCAGGTGAGCTTTCTTGTAATCTAGTCTTCAGAAATAGTTCTCAGTGGTTCTTAAAGGACATTGACAGCTCTTCTCTGGATGTTGGCTGGCCTTTCAAGATGATCCCACACTGCTTGTTGAGTGGTTGAGGTCCTGGTTGAGCGCACTTGTGATCATTATTAGTCTAAAAACATGAAACTTCTTCTCAAAGTTGAAGGAATCATGAACAAAGGTCTTCAACATCACTGACTGAAATGCAGATTAAAAAGGTGGCAGTCTCTCTACTGTGTCTCACTTCATAACACCACTTGCCACTGATTATTTGCTCAGTCCTTGTGTAATTTGGCACAGCTCAAAGCTCATATTCCATTCCTTAATAACTGCGTCTTGACAGCCACCCTTCAACTGAGACCATTTCTAATGAGACTTCAGTAAGTTCTGTAAAAACACCTTCAAAAATCACAAGAAAGTCTGACTTGTTGAAAGCAAAACAAAGAAATAAGGAGTGGCTCAATACTTTTGCACATTACATATTGAAGTTAAGCTCCAACTATTTTGTGCGTTTTTAAAAAGTGTAAAAGCAACATGCTTGTTTCCAAAAAGGAGCCCTAATTTTGCTGATAGTCGCATTCATGAAATTCCTATGGAGTGATCCCACTAGGGGGCAGAGTAGGATTCCTGCTAATCCTGTTCTAACAGGAATTACACAGTTCCATCCCCGTCCAGGTTCTGAATAAAACAGGCCTCTTTGCAATGATAATTAAATCCTGAAAAACGAGAACAGCTATTACTCAACTGTCAGGAAACTTTTATATCTGCACAAACAAATCTAATAAAATCAATATGTCGCTTTCTCATTACTCATCATATAAATTATTCGATCTTATTCAGCTTTCCAATGACAAAACGTGACTAATCTTCAAAATGTGTCCAAAGAAACAATGAAAGGAAGGAAGGAAGTTTGGAGGTTACACAGAAATACTTCATAAATGTGACACCAGGAAACAGAGGAAATGCACGTGTCCACGGGGCGGTGGAGATCATACAGGAAGAGTCATAGCAGTGCAGCTTCCAGAAGTCATGGACTTTAAATAAATAATAAGCATATAGAGTGTAAAGCATCCACAATAAACATTACGTGGATGAGTAGCTATATTTATTTTCTTATATATCGCATTAAATCATCTTTTCCTCAATACTTCCTCACAATACTTCCCAAAGTCAGGGAAGCTGTGCTACACTCATGTATTTTTAAAGGGTTATTTTTATATGTATATATTCTTTTTACCTCCTTTCGGTCTCTGGAGTCGACATGGTGCTGCTGAGTCCTAGAGATTCCTAAGGAGATGAAAAACACATGTTAAATATACATATATACAGGGACTGGCAAATCTTTTTCTACTCAGCTGGATCAAAGTCCAGACATTCACCAAACCTAGAAAATTTCCATATATAACTTGTCATATGTCATCATATTTTAGGATCTACTTCCAAGAACAGTGTCAAGGCCAGTTCTTTTCCCCGCAGTCACTCGGATGTTACTTTGTGGCCTAGTACACTGACTCGGGATAGATCATGACTAGCCAATTCCTCTGCCTCTTATCAGCCTGTCTGCTGACACACGGAAAAGGAAGTTGCCTTCTCCCGGGGTCTGACACGCTCAGAGCTGGACGCTCACCTGGATCTGTGAGCGCAGCTGCACTGATGTGGCCACTGAGTCAATCTTTCCCTGAAACACACATACACGGGAAGTGGAGGAGTAAATCATAGTGTCATCGTAACATAAGAACAGACAAAATTTTCATTTGACTGAATCACCCAAAAGGCGACTCAGTCAAAAGGTTAACCTAAGGTAAAAAACCAAAAGTCAGAATCAGAAACTAAAAACAAGTTGCAGTGAAGACCCAACCTCAGGGACAGCTCTGCATGTGAGAAAATATGCTTACTCACTTTCATGCAAGATGAGAAAATCAATAAGGGATCTATTTATTGTAGAGCCGCTAACTTACATAAGCAAAAATACAATGTGGTAACGTGACTTTTAAAAAGTGCAGGTAGGCGGATTTTGTCCCCTTCTGCTTGCATGAGGCCTGAAAACAGCTGGGCTAAGTTCAGAGTGAATGAACAGCTGACTAATGGATACTAAATGCACTAATATAAATTTCTCAATAGTTCCACACTAAACCTTAAACCCTGATCTTAACGGACAAGAAAAAGACAATTTACCATCTCTGCATCTTGCACTACTTTGCGTTTCCGTAGCTCCTCCATCCTTTCGCATACGTCACTGAGGGAGGTGCCGTAATACTGAGAGTACTCCTGAGCCAGGTCATCTAGGTTCCCCACCGAGCCATCCTGCAAGAGAGGGATTCAGACTGGCACTCAGATACGAGCACGGATCAGGAGAGGAAAGCGACAGCCCGTGAGGGTTGACCAAGATACTGAACAGCAGGCAACCACTGTAAACATGAAGCCATTGTTTGAAAGTTTAGCACTGACACCAGTAACATAAACAGCCAGGAACCACTGAGATAAAGCACCAGGGCATAAGATAACGCATCAAAGACACTCGGCTGAAATACCAACTCTGTTTGCACCAGCTTATCATCTTCCTGCCCGGTGACCCCATCCCACCTCCTCAGCCCTCCTTAGACCTGACCTCAAGGCCAGAAGAGGCAGCGTGTGACGCAGCTGCAACACTCACTCTGCTCTCACAGTCATCGGGACTTGACTTAAGAGGCCACGGTTCAGTCTTCCGTAAATCAGGAGAAGCAGAATCACTCAGTGGGATCGTGAGTCTTTGCCCTGACACACAGCTCGTTCTCCTGCATGTAACCCCCTTTTTGGTTTCCTTCAATTGTAAAAGCTGAATGCTGTGTGCCTCTTGTTGTGTGGGAAGATAATAAATCACAGCATCTGTGCTGAGCTTTATGGTTCAGTGACCCTTGGGATCAGGAATTAACACATTGTGGGAATTTTATTTTCATGGAAATGATTCTAGATCTAAACAGGAAGTTTTAAATCAGAAGAATTTAAAGTAACTCTCAAAAAATACTGTTAATGTTTGTTATCATGACCAACCCATATAAGCTTTCTGCTCACAAAACAACCATTCCTCTTTTACAAAAAAATTCGTATAACACCTGTGATAGAGGATTACTAAAAAAAACCAAACAAAACAAAACAAAAAAACCAAATTGTGATGGTTTTTATTTGCCTTTAACATTTGGAGACACGCTAAAAACACTACAACATTATCATATCACCCTTTAAGCTTGTTAGGGTCAATGTTAGCATACAGTCACATAGGTCTAGCAGACACGGGGCAACATTAGCATTCATTTGAAATGGTGTTTCTGCCCACCTGGGGAGTGTCAATCCTCATGCATTCTGCTTTAAGCTCTGTTTCTGTCTTTTATTTGGGTGGAGACTCGTTACTAGTCTCCACCATGTTCCCAGCTTGTTGCCAACTCTGTCTGCGAGGTGCTAAGCAGGAAGCGTCCAGTAACTTTATAGAAGTTTCTCAATGAAGACAGCTGCCTGCCTGTGATGTCTAGGAAGTGATGGTGTGAGAGTGGTGAAAGTAAACAATAAGATTCTCTGTAGTCTCACGGGAAAACTGCAGAGTGAAGTGATATTTCTTTGTGGACTTGCCTGTAACCGTGCCAACAGTTCTTTCTAACAAGTTAATTCATGTCTCACAGGTCCACAGACTATTTTCAACTCTGGATACTTCACAGGTTGTTGAGGGAGCACATTCAATTAGGGGAATCTATCAGACGACCTGGACGACACAATATATATTACAGACACATTACACATGCATTGCAACCCTGAACTTGTCTAGGCATCACCCCATCAGCCAGTTTTGACATTAAATGTCTGAACTTGCCAGTAACATTTAGTACAAAGCATGTGAAAGGTCTGATTTGACCCATGTGAAATTATTGCAGGAGTTGATGTTGCAGCATGATTCTCCAGATTCCTATTGAGCTCATGCATGAAAATGGCTTATATCACTCCGAAATTTCTCTCTCACTGATTATTTATTTGTAATTATAGCCAAAATTGTTTTTATATTATTTAAATGGTGATTCTGTAAAACAATGGCATGGTTATAGAAACCAGGATTAAAGCAGTATGTCTGTGTAGGTAAGAAGAAGAGGAACGAGAAAACTTAAAGAAATCGGATCACCTTTTTTCAAGTGCCTAAGGAAAAAGAGTTGTAAGGGACAAAAGGTTTTACTTTCAGCCAACGAGCTGTAAATGTAGATGCATTTACAGCTCGCTGACAAAAATAAAAACAATCGATTGCAGCTTCAGTTCCTGAAATACTAGTAATAGAGCAAGTCTGTTGTGTCTGCTCTTTGCATTTCTTTTCTCATGACTTGGACATTTTATAGTTAGAAGAAAACAACACTGGCAAATAAATAACAATGGGAGACTTTGGCTCCACATTTGGAATTAAAGAGGGTGGGTCTGTGATACCCAGGGAACTGTTTACAGCAGGGGGGGGGACGCTGGGGGTTGGGGTTGTGGTGGTTTGTGCTTATCAGGTTTTGACGTTGCAACCAGCTGCAAACCTGAAAGGCTCATTCCGAGACACAGTTTGTGGTCTATATGGGGGAGGGGGGGGGGGGTCTGCTCATAGTTTTACACTGAAAAAAAAGAATACATTTAAAAAAAGGCCAGTTAGCAACCTGTCTAAACTAAAGCCTGAGTTTGAGAAAGCCTCGCTTAACTATGTTAGCCGCCTCTGTCCATTAGGTTTGGTTTTGTGAAGATGGTGCTTGAAGAGGTTTTATTTAGCAATTTCCAATGTGACTAAGTGACTAAGGGATGGAGAAAAAAATATACGTGTAAACAAATACAAGGAAAGCGAGGTGGACAAAATCTAATTAAATTTAGTGAGTAAAGTAAGTGAGTCTACTAATTTCCCCCATGTAATTAACAACTGTGTAGCCTGTTTAGCAGGATTTTCTGAAACTAAGCGCATGAAAATGTCAGAAATCAACAGCGATGGTAAACCTGCAAAAACAAAAGATGTAGAAAGACAGCTAGTCATCACGTCCAGTCATGATTTAAATCAAACTGTGTTCGTAATAGCCGTCCAGAATGTTCATAAGCTGTTTCACGCATGTTTATTATCTTGCTTCACTCATGCCATATCCTGAAGGCATGCAAACGGGCCTGCAGAAAACAGCCCTCTGCAGTGAAAAGTAATACTGTGGGCCCACTTGTCTTGTGTCATGATGGACTCTGACTGCCTCAACTGTCCAGAAGAGAGGCCCATTCATTTGGTAAATGACATGCCCCCGAGTCCAAGAAGGCTTGAAAATCTGGCTGCTTTTCATATAGAGGAGGAACAAGGCTTAGGCCGACTGAGAAGCTCTGCACTGTGCCTGGCTGCAGTCGCTCTTCTGCCTCCGACTGCCACTGATTCACATAAACAGCCCATTGTAAAGCAGCCACATGACACTGCGGCGCCCTAAGTGCTTATTACACATGGTGGATGTCTAGTGTGTATACTTCCCTGTTATAGACAAATCTAAACACAACTTAAGTATACAGTCAGAAAAGTGAGCTGAACGTTAAATCGAATAAACAATCTCGCACATTCTTCCTCGGAGATGACTGACGAAAATACTGCAGCGTGCTTGAAATTCGACTGTTTCCAAATTAGCAGAGTCTGCGCCAAAACTGTAGCATGAGACATCGACCACAGAGGCTGGAAAAGGAGAGCGTGGTGTCACGTTTCTCGAGCAATAAGCATCTCATGGGCAGACAAAAGATCCACATGCCCCCAGGGCCAAGAGTGTCTAATGAGTGTTTTTACAGTTCCTCTGGCTTGCCTTAACCACACCTGGGTCACAAAGTATCAGCAAATTATTATTTTTTATCCTCCTCTGAGACAGAAATGTAGGTCACGTTATGTCAGAGGTCAATATGTCGAGTATGAGAAGGTCAACATAGTTATAAAGATCATAAGATCTTCTTTTAAGTCAATTAGTGAAATCTGAGTTAGGTTCTGTGCTCTGAGCACCAGATCTACAATGTGAAAAAGTCCATGTCTGCATCTATTTTAACAACCTTTTATTTACTAAAGCCTTGTGTTTGATTTGAACAGCTTAATTCAAACCAAACGACACTGTATGGTTACAGTTCAGCAGGGGACCTAATAAAGATCACTACATGCCTTCCACACATTACACTGAGTGATGTTTCAAAGGATCATGTGAGGACAAGCACCGACTTGGTTAATAACTTATTAACAAAAGCATTTGAAAGCACAGAGAAAGATTCAAAAGCAAAAACCAAGAGCAGAAAAAAGGCAACACGAATTCAGAGATCCTCTTGTTAATCTACAGAAAACTACCACCTCCGACCATAGCGCCGCATTCCAGGACACACATAAAAATACACTCACCGCAAACAGACATCTGTGTGCCAACAGCAGCCATCCAGTAGTTGCCCTTTAGTTCCACCACAGTTCTGTAAGTGAATGGCTCCCTTTGAATACTTAACTCAGTTTAAAGAGTGGAGGACAATACATCCTGAAGTAAAGGGGAGGGCAGTCCAGCGTGCATAAATTAGAGGGGGAGAGGGGGAGGGCAGGTTGGGGGAGTTACAACCACATTTGACGCTGCTCCTGCTGCTGCTGGGTGGGGCACTGTACTCTCTCCAGCTGCAGCCCACAGGGACTGGCTGACTCACATGTTCAAATAAACCACCACCTCTCAGTGTATGAAAGTGTGGCTGCATGTTTATGTCTGCAGTGGAGTTGGGAGAGTGATACATCGGGGGATTTTTTTCCCAGTGTGGTTGCAGGTCATGAATGTCTCCCTCTGCTGATATGGAGGCTCTTCAGATCACACCTTAACAGATGTGCACCCCAGGGGGTACTTCTGCTGTAGGCATGGGATGAATGGAAAGATTAGTAAACCAACTAAGTGAGTGCATCTATAAATGATTAAAATAAAACGGTAAGTGTCAAAAGAGATTAGTAGTAATTGGTATAGCTGGTTAAAAGGACAGTATAAGTTTATCTATACTACTAATAGATTTAACAGTAGTACAAAAACAGCTATTACTGACATTCATTTAGCTGAATGTATTTGCTACGATTGAATAGAAAAATTAATCCAAACATTCACAGCCGGACTGGATGAAAAGTTTTTTTTGAAAAATTACAAGTGTTGAAGAAGAGCCCAGCAGTCTTCCTCTTTAATGATCACCTTACAGAAAAGGGAATAACATGAACCATAATGAAAAGGTACAAAGAAACAATCCATATGACAAATCAATAATCCGGATGGTCCTCAGATGTCAGCCAGCATACAGTTTTTGCCCTAATT